AAATAAAATCTATATATAAAACAGTTCAAGTATATCACAATGCTAGTTTAAATGTTTAACCTTTATAAATGTGCGCTGTTAGACACATATCCAATCGCTTGCGGAGGAGTGGAAGCTGAAGCGTGCTCTGCAGGACATGGAGGCGCCAGTGCGATCACTTGCATTTTTTTTTAACAGTGGAAACAACTTAAAATACGCAGTCATTTTTGCTCATAAAGAAAAGAGTAATACATCATTCTAAACTGTAAAGGGTCTAGTTTTATTTGTGTGCACTCACAATATCAACAAAACGTTGTGCTTTTATAAAATAAAGAAAACAAACGCTTTCTGTCGTCTCGGGCTTGAACAGGAGCGCTTCACAATGATGAACCGAAACTCGGACATGATCAAAATATATAGAAAGCCTTAAATTACTACTTTAAAACGAAATAATTCAAATCGAAAATAGACTCCTAATAAAATAAACTTTCATTATGTAATCCGTGCATTTCTCTCTAAAGGCACATCCAATTAGATGGCGAGTAATTTTTTCATCACTATAATTGATGGAAGGCCCGATTATAATTTGCGTTTTATTTTATAATGCCATACAGTTAAAAAATAAAACACTAATTATAATGGCATATATGTAAAACTTTGTCCTATAATTGTATAGCTGCTTTTTCTGATTTTTATGTTGCTCTGTTCTGAACACCTTAAAATTTAAAGGATTTGCTGCAACGCAATTTTGTATGATATGTACTTTATTGCATTCCAGATGCTTTTAAAGTACTTTTCACTATAAATTTTACGGGTAGCTTGTATGTAAACGTTGTCATGAATTCGTTGTATTCCCATTTGTAAAATAGCCAACAAATTAACTGTTGTAGGCTAACCCGATCTCATGAAAGTGCGTAGTATAGCATGATTTTCTGCTTCTATTTGGCATAATATTTCTATGCAGAAATTGACTTTGGCATGCAAAAGACTGATAAATTCATAATTAACGGCATGGGTTCAGTCGACAGAAATACGGGACACAGGCCTATAATAACTGCTTTGCTGGGGGAAATCTCAGATCAGTCTGAGCGCTCATGGTACTCATCGGTCTGTACAGCCCTACACCTGCAGGCGCCATGGACTCGCATGGTTGTCGTGGAAATAAACACCGTAAACGACAAACGTTCGCGTGTCCGCGCTTAATGCTTATATCCTATATGAAAAGCATTTTAGGGGGCCCTTGGCTTTTGGGGGCCCAAGGCGGTCGCCTACCTTTGCCTAATGGGTAAGTCCGCCCCTGATCAAGAGTTGAACTTACTCTGTCCCATCAGGGCGCTGAAAGTCTATGTTGAGCGTTCTGCCCCGTTCAGGCGGTCAGATCAGCTATTTGCATGCTTTGGTGGCCGCACCAAGGGTTGTCCGGTTACGAAGCAGAGACTTTTCAAATGGATAATTGACGCTATTATGCTAGCATACTCTTCTTTGGGCCTTCAATGCCCCATGGGAGTAGAGGCATTGCCTCTTCCTGGGCTTGGTCTAGCGGTGTGTCCATTGCAGAAATTTGTTCGGTGGCCGGCTGGGCCTCGCCGTCCACATTTGCCAGATTCTATAGTCTGGACATCCCGGCCTTACAGGCGCAGGTCCTTTCTGCATAGCAGGGCACTCTATCATATGACAACCAGTGCTTGGCGTTTGCCTCCTTCATGTACACTCTTGGCCCTCAGTGAGTTCTGAGGCTGTACTGAATTAATATCGGGACGATGATACAAGACTGGGCCGACCTCTCTGAGTTTAGCCCTACTACCTTTTGTGGGGCTTCCCTGCAAAATACTTGGTCCCTCTGGGCCCCCTTGGGTGCTTAAGGCAAGTTCAAGTATTAGTCGTTCCTCTAGCATAGCACGGCGGGATTGTACTGGTTCCCCAAGCGTCTTAAACTGACGCAGTAAGCGTGAAGTATCGATAAGGAACGTACTCGGTTACTAATGTAACCTCGGTTCCCTGAGATATGGAACGAGTACTGCGTACTTTGCTGTGCTATGTAGCTGCACGACTCAGTCGTCGCTTCAGTCGAAGTAACCTGAGGATCTTATGGCGATGTATATAGCCAGATGACCCTGCCCATTCTGGTGGGCTTTGGCGGGCTTTACCGAGCTCTGCCGAGCTATTGGTTTGTTTTATATTCACTGTACGAACCAATTGCCATGCAGTTACACTGCATTATTGAAAGGCTTCAGTCATCGAAGAAAAAGTACTTAAACAGATGCAGTACTCGTTCCGTATCTCAGGGAACCGAGGTTACGTTAGTAACCGAGTACGTTCTTGCATCATTTCTGAATCATTATCCAAACACACCTTTCTGTAAAACTGTAGGACACTGATTCCATGTTATGAGCTTCTTTGAAAATGGCAACACATCACTGTTGTCAACAGCTGTCAGTCAATGCAGACATATCTGTTGTCTTGAATAGGAAGAAAGTGAGAATCAAAATGATGCATCATGCTGCTAAAAACTTAAGCATGAACCATTGTACTGTGCTGAAAATCCTTTACCAAAATAGGGTTTTCCTGGTAAAAAATGATTAGCCTTTTAAAAAGATTTTGTATTTATTTTTGATTGATTTGAGCTTATGTACAATGCAATAACATTAACTAGCAATTTTAGGAAAACTCTCTCCAGGTCAAAATGACTGGAACACAACAAGAGGGTTAAAAAGACCATCCAATTAGAAAAGTGTAATACGGTAGACTTTTTTTTAGCAGATGTTGATATAAACCTACTCTACGATACGGCCTTGGCACAAGAGCACAATAACTCATGTTGGCATTATTGCCAACCATGTCTACATAGAGTCTCTATGTCATGTTGATGGTTGAAGAGCTGTAGCATTCCTAGCATAGCACGGCGGGATTGTACTGGTTCCCCAAGCGTCTTAAACTGACGCAGTAAGCGTGAAGTATCGATAAGGAACGTACTCGGTTACTAATGTAACCTCGGTTCCCTGAGATATGGAACGAGTACTGCGTACTTTGCTGTGCTATGTAGCTGCACGACTCAGTCGTCGCTTCAGTCGAAGTAACCTGAGGATCTTATGGCGATGTATATAGCCAGATGACCCTGCCCATTCTGGTGGGCTTTGGCGGGCTTTACCGAGCTCTGCCGAGCTATTGGTTTGTTTTATATTCACTGTACGAACCAATTGCCATGCAGTTACACTGCATTATTGAAAGGCTTCAGTCATCGAAGAAAAAGTACTTAAACAGATGCAGTACTCGTTCCGTATCTCAGGGAACCGAGGTTACGTTAGTAACCGAGTACGTTCTTGCATCATTTCTGAATCATTATCCAAACACACCTTTCTGTAAAACTGTAGGACACTGATTCCATGTTATGAGCTTCTTTGAAAATGGCAACACATCACTGTTGTCAACAGCTGTCAGTCAATGCAGACATATCTGTTGTCTTGAATAGGAAGAAAGTGAGAATCAAAATGATGCATCATGCTGCTAAAAACTTAAGCATGAACCATTGTACTGTGCTGAAAATCCTTTACCAAAATAGGGTTTTCCTGGTAAAAAATGATTAGCCTTTTAAAAAGATTTTGTATTTATTTTTGATTGATTTGAGCTTATGTACAATGCAATAACATTAACTAGCAATTTTAGGAAAACTCTCTCCAGGTCAAAATGACTGGAACACAACAAGAGGGTTAAAAAGACCATCCAATTAGAAAAGTGTAATACGGTAGACTTTTTTTTAGCAGATGTTGATATAAACCTACTCTACGATACGGCCTTGGCACAAGAGCACAATAACTCATGTTGGCATTATTGCCAACCATGTCTACATAGAGTCTCTATGTCATGTTGATGGTTGAAGAGCTGTAGCATTCATTCATAAAGGTATTTTTTTAAACCACTGACGCGCTTCAGTGAAGTGGTTATTCATATCTGTTGTGCATACATATCTTAAATGTATGTATACAGTCTGGTATACTGTATATTGTTTGTAGCTTAAAAAATAAATATGCTTGTGTTGTAATGTATTGAAGTACTTCCATAAAAGGGTCAACCAGGGCATACTTTCAAAAAGATGATCTGGTCAGGCTCAGGCACTTAATTGTTTACACATTGAAAATAAAATTATGAAAATAAGTTACAGGTAGACATTGTCCAATGAGGGATTGACAACTAGCCTGCCTTAATTTTATCTATCTATCTATCTTATCTGTCTGTCCGTCCGTCCGTCCGTCCATCCATAGTATTCATGACAAAACTGAACTGAAATGAAAGATGAAAAGAATGAAGACGAAAGAAATCTAATATGATTTCAATTCTTAAAATTTAATGTAATATTTATCCAATCTATTAAGACATAAATGACAGATATTTGCAAGCCCATGGCCATGGGAATCATTTGGTCAGTCATTCACACTACCTAGGCACAAAACAGAGGTGTTATTTTCAAAGGACCGAAGATGCTTAAAAAACAAACTTCCCTCTGTTTTCATGTTTGATGCTACTGTTAAACTGGTAAACGGTTTGACTGCACCTGAACTAAATGAGAACTTCCTAATGTAGGCTATTAGTGATGATCTCTCTCATAGCATGACTACAACTTAGCTCACCACTGCCAACTGATGAGCCTAAATTAACATATTTAGAAGTAATTTTTTTTTTCATTGAACAATGTCACAGGTGACTAACTGGTGAGGGTTGCGTGCTGCAATGACGAACCAAGATGGCCGCTGGAAGAAACCTCAGTGACCCCAGCCTGAATCAGCATTCCCAAGCTATGGGTTGATGTTGATAATCTCATTTAGACCAAGACCTCATTTATCATTGAGGGCGCTTGCGAGTTACCAAAATGCTTGTATGAGTAACATCATAGCACATAAAGTTACTTCCTATAGCAAACATTGTAATGACTGTCAGACTTCTCTGACTCATTCAATTCATGGCTTTGAAAAGGCACATAGAAACAGAATTTTTTTTGCTTTAAAATATAAAATAGGATTTATTTCATATTGATTTACACATTTACACCAAAAATGCAGCATTTAAGTAGTAATTTGCACAGGAAAAGGTACACAAGACATGCACGTCACAGAGAAAAGAACAATGAGAAGAAACTGAATGAATGCTCGAAGGCCTCTCATAGTCTATAAAGATTAATATATAGACATAAGCCACCCATCCACACATTACACTCTACATGTATATTACATGTCACGCATAAAAATGGTGCTTGTTCAAACATGATTTATAGTAGGACTTCACACAATTTTGCTCCAGTTTACAATTTACTCATTCTGAATGTTTAAATTTTTTCCAATTAATATTCACTTCATGACAAAAATCACAAACAGACTCTTGAAATATAAAAACAACACCTGTTGTTGTTACTAAATATCATTAAGGCTGTATTCAAGGTACGAGTGTGCAGCCTTTTAAACCAATGGGGGAAAATTAAATGGATGTCAGTAGAACGTTGTAATTTCTGACAGAGTTTATGTTTTGAGAATGAACTAGACATCTAAATGTGTATAAGCAACAAAGATACAGAGAAAGCAGGGTTACAGTACATGTAATATTAAATTAAGTAAAATTAGTTTTTCTTTTAATCATCTTTTACAATATGGAAATAAGGTGACTGCTCATTTCCCAACTGAAGCACATGGATTTTTTTTAACTAACACACAAGGCCAGTTTTTATATTTGCAAGCCCATGGGAAGCATTTGGTCAGTCGTACACACTACCTAGGCACAAAACAGAGGTGTTATTTTCAAAAGACCGAAGATGCTTAAAAAAACTTCCCACTGTTTTCATGTTTGATGCTACTGTTAAACTGGTAAACGGATTTACTGCACCTGAACTAAATGAGAACTTCCTAATGTAGGCCATTAATGATTATCTCTCTCATAGCATGACTACAACTTAGCTCACCACTGCCAACTGATGAGCCTAAATTAACATATTTAGATGCAATTTTTTTTTCATTGAACAATGTCACAGGTGAGGGTTGCGTGCTGCAATGACGGACCAAGATGGCCGCTGGAAGAAACCTCAGTGACCCCAGCCTAAATCAGCATTCCCAAGCTATGGGCTGATGTTGATAATCTCATTTAGACCAAGACCTCATTTATCATCGAGGGCGCTTGCGAGTTACAAAAATGAGGACCCTGCGGATGGCGATCAGCCGATCCTTAAGAGTGTTCATGGCGAGGATGGTCAGCTGGGCTTTGTTTTCCAGCGGCAGCACAGCCAACAGCCACCAACACCACGCAGGACCATTGGGATTATCCTGAGGAAAAAAAAGAACACAATCAAACATTAGCACTGAATGTATTAGATTAGCCTGCCATTTTAAAAACTACAATAATTTTTAAATAAAAATTAAATACGGGTCTGATATGCAGCAGACAGTTTAGAGGTAAGATTACAATGATTTAGAACAAATGTGAGAATGATTTGATCCAAACATTCACCTGTGGGTCAGAGTCTTTGACAGGCAGCTGCCCAAAGTGGCTGATGATCTGGTTCTTCATATCATCTTTAAGGGAAGTGAACCAGCCCAAGGCCTGATCATACACAGAGTCATGCAACTTCAGGAGCTCAGTCAACACCTCTCCTTCAACCTGAACACACATGCACATATATGGTCAGTGTGGAAGACTGGTGATTTAGTTATTTTCTCTCTCTCTCTCTCTCTCTCTCACACACACACACACACAATATACCATTTTTGGATTTGGACTTTTGTGCTCATAGACTGCAAAAATCTCTATACCTTTTTATCCTCCAAATATTCAATCTTGGCTGTGTGGTATCCATCTCTCTGGCCGTGAGTGAGCACTCTGAAACGAGCAATGCCTATGGTGTCCACCACAGAGCGTCCATCAGGAAAAAACTTGACATCCCTCACCTGCAGCATACAGCCGTGGTCTGCAAACCTGTTAACCACACACCTCAGATATTTAACGCCATGTCAAGATGTTATGCACTTCATTAACACTTCTTTCTGATTAGGGCCCAAAGCTGTGAAAGTATATGCACTAAACCCAATACATGTATATGACTCATCAAAGCTGAACAACTTTTGCGCTGCATGTCATATGCTCTGCTCAAGAGAAGTCGGCTACTCGGAACCTTTACATACTCCTTCTAGAGAATTAATGCAATCGCCACCAAACTCAGTCAACACAATGCCAAGACACTGAAGATGCTAAAATGTTAATGGATTTATGATACTGAATGGTTTGGCTGAGGCAAGGTGGTAAATTTTCGCCAAAAAAAAAAGGAAATAAAAAGCATGTTATAATTTTCGCACACGTTGACTGATGTAGTTCAAATTTGAGCTGTATGTTTGATGGAAGCATGGATGTGACTTATTGCGAGTAACAATCATAACGCTGCCAACTAGCAACAGGAAGTGTCACTTACAACAAGCTTTAAAGAATTCAAAGGATTTTTTATTTTTTTGTAGCCTTTTTGGGTATTTTTGAGCTTCTTAGCACCTTTTGACTAAAGTAATGGGGTTAGGTTTACCTGAAAAGATTTCCACATTAAAGACTTCGATTTACCTTGAAGTATATTGGGGCCTTTATGCACTTAGTTGAAGCACATTTGGCAGTGATTATATGTATTCTAGAACACAGGAATTTAGAGCAATTTGGGTATAATCCATTAATAATTTTATGAGAATGTCCAGGGATCAACATTAAGCAGGGATTAAAATTATTCATTTGTCTGAGTTAAAAAAAAGAAAAAGAAAAAAATTAACTTGTCAGGAAATTTTGGTTTCGTTTTTTCTAAATCCTATCATTTGCCTTCTAGGGTTGTAATGGTACACAAAAGCAAATGTACGTACCTCAGCTTTGAATTTGCATTTCGGTATGGAAAAATATTATTTGTTTGAATTTTGTGATAAAATGGACAAAATTTGAAAGATGAGGCTATTGCTGTGTTCAAAATCACCTGCATACCCTTCCCTACATTAGTGCACTAGTATAGTGTAGTTGAAGGAGTGAATGAAAACGAGTGAGTCTGCCGCTTTTACATAGTTTGTGCTTGCTGTTTAATAATCATTTGTAACTTAGCAAAATGGCTAAGCTCTAAACTAGCATGTATAAACCTTACTTAAATTATTTAAGTATTAATTTAAACAAAATTTATGCCTATACGATATAATGCTGTACCCACATTGGACCAGTGGTATGGAAAACAGATGAATGGTTGATTCAGCTGAGGGCACCACTTTCTGGCAAGATGAGGGAATACATTTGGCACAACCCTTTAAGTGCATTATGGGTATTCTCTAGCCTGTGAGTGTACATCGGTTGTTACTGTGGTGCATTATGTGGTTGAATGAGTACACTCAATAACTTCCACTATGGTTTCAGACATCACTATTAAATGGCTGTCCCCTATTTAGGAGTATGGGGGCTATTTCGGACACAGCCTATGATTTTTATCGATAACAATACACAGAGCCTATTGTAATTATCGATGGTAAGACTGGTTAATAGCCTAAAACGCTGTATTTCTTGTGTACATATGCGTACAGAACCAAAAAGCACATATGATTACGTGTGCCGCTTTACCCCTAATGCTTCCAAAAACTTAAACAGAAAATGTCGCAGGGATAATTTTATGAGAATTTTGAATTTATTTATTTTTTCCTAATTTTATATTTATTTAGATAATCAAAAACATACATTCACGTATCAACACAACTAACAACACAACATGCATACAGACATTGTGATTTTACATTGTGTACATATAAGCAAAGACAAGAAAGAGAAAATAACATCAGTAAATCACAAACAAAACCTGACAGCATCAGCATCAGTTTATCCACTTACAATTATACTTGGTTTTGTAAATAATTTATGAAAGGACACCATATGGCAGTGAACTTAGACCCGGAACCTTTTAAATTAAGTCTTATTTTTTCCAAACTCAGGAATTGTAACATCTCTGGCCCACTGTTTAAAAGAAGGGGGAAATGACTGTTTCCAATTAATTAAAACCAAGCGCCTTGCCAAAAGAGAAGTAAAGGCGATTCAGTCCAATTCACATTTTGACAGTGTTATTTTCACATACAATACCAAAGACGGCAGTTAAAGGATTTGCACAAACATCTTTACAAAATATTCTAGAATAAGATAAAAAAAATATGAGACCAAAAAACAGACAGACTAGGACATAGCCAAAACATATGGGCTAATGTAGCAGGGGACTGCTTACAGCTTGTACAGGAGGGGTCAACCGAGGGATACATCTTTGCCAGTTTGGCCTTGGAAAGATGAAGTCTATGTACCACTTTAAATTGAATAAGGCTGTGTCTAGCACAAATAGACGATCCACGAATTCTATATATAGCCTCATTCCATTCCTCGTCCGTCAGTGAGATATTAAAGGGATCATATGATGCGATTTCAAGTTTTCCTTTCTCTTTGGAGTGTTACAAGCTGATTGTGCATAGATAAGATCCCTGAAGTTGCAAAGACTAAAGTCTCAAAACCAAAGAGATATTCTTTATCAAAGTTAAGACTGCCACGCCCCCCTAAAACGGCTCGTTCTAACACGCCCCCACATATCTACCTCACTATGTGGAAATATTTGCATAATGCCGCCCAAATGTTCACGCAAAGAAAGAAGGCGTGGTTTCAGTAACTGCAGTTAGTGTTGAAGCAGCCATGTCAGGGAGACGCTGTGTGTTTCTAGGCAAAAGCAAAAGCACTTTATTTGGCCTTTCGAAAGTAGATGCATTTAGGAATCTTTAAGATTACTTACAACAGAACAGCAATGCATTTTATGGATGACCGTTTCCGACTGCATCTCTGGAGCTCAGCCACAGTGATCTTTGGGTTCTTCTTTACCTCTCTCACCAAGGCTCTTCTCCCCCGATAGCTCAGTTTGGCCGGACAGCCAGCTCTAGGAAGGGTTCTGGTCGTCCCAAACGTCTTCCATTTAAGGATTATGGAGGCCACTGTGCTCTTAGGAACCTTAAGTGCAGCAGAAATGTTTTTGTAACCTTGGCCAGATCTGTGCCTTGCCACAATTCTGTCTCTGAGCTCTTCAGGCAGTTCCTTTGACCTCATGATTCTCATTTGCTCTGACATGCACTGTGAGCTGTAAGGTCTTATATAGACAGGTGTGTGGCTTCCCTAATCAAGTCCAATCAGTATAATCAAACACAGCTGGACTCAAATGAAGGTGTAGAACCATCTCAAGGATGATCAGAAGAAATGGACAGCACCTGAGTTAAATATATGAGTGTCACAGCAAAGGGTCTGAATACTTAGGACCATGTGATATTTCAGTTTTTCTTTTTTAATAAATCTGCAAAAATGTCAACAATTCTGTGTTTTTCTGTCAATATGGGGTGCTGTGTGTATATTAATGAGGAAAAAAAATTAACAAATGATTTTAGCAAATGGCTGCAATATAACAGAGTGAAAAATTTAAGGGGGTCTGAATACTTTCCGTACCCACTGTAGACCCATCGGCAAGGGTGAAAATAGAAGAGCTGAAAGCGAGGAAGGAAGGCAGGCTGAGGATTCTATCTGGACCCAATCTGGTACGTGATTTATATAATGTGAACCTTGCCAATAAGTCAGAGCTCTTAGGTTACAAGCCCAATAATATAGTTGAAAATTTGGGAGGGCCATCCCCCCTGTTCTTTAGGGTTTTGCAGAAATTGTAGACGTATTCTGGGGGGTTTCTTATTCCAAACATCAGACGAGATTATCTTATTTAAATGAGCAAAAAAAGATTTCTTAATGTAAATCGGTATAGTTTGGAAGAAATATAAAAATTTAGGGAGCTGTCACGAATTCAGTCCATGGACTTCCGTTTATTCACCACCAGAGGTCACCCTTTCCATTTCATTGACTCTCGCACAACACAAACTGTTGCATAGCACCCCGGACCACATATCCCATCATTCTTTGCACGATTTGCACACTGCACTGATTGCACACAGCTGTTTCTAATCACCTCACTCACTATATAACACCCACTCCAACCACCTTTCTCTGCTGAGTATTGTTTAGCCTGTACCCCTTTCTGAGTCTCCGTGTTTTCCTTGTTTTGCCTTGCCTGTTTTTGCGGTTTCTGATCTTTGCCTTTTTTTTTGGGTTTCTCCCTCTCGTCTCGCCCCTGTGATTCTGTCTGCTGATCGGTGACCTACGCTAGCCCTGGGACTATTCTTGTGTTTTGCCTGCCATATACCTGTTTGCCATTGTTCTGACCCTGCCTGTTTACCACGTCTCTTTAATAAAGCCTGCAGATGGATCCACACGTCTCACATCTCGTCAGCCACGTTACAGGAGCGTATTCATTTTAATAACATTGATCCTACCAATCAAAGAAGTGGGGAGCTTAGACCATTTTTCAAGGAATATCCTAGTTTGTTCCAAGAGGAGAGTAAAGTTGAGCTTAAACAGCTTAGAGATATTTCTTAAAACAACCACACCTAAATATATCAATTTTATCAGGGGCTACTGCAAATGGGTAGTGAGAAAAATAAGTATTTAATGCTAAGCGATTTATAGGAAATAATTCATTCTTAGAGAGGTTGAGTTTGTATCCCGAAATGTGGCTAAAACGCTCAAGTGCAGTAATAACATGAGGGAGAGAATTATGAGGATCTGCGATAAATAAAAGCAGGTCATCTGCATAGAGTGATAACTTGTGCTCTCTGTCCCCCCCTAGATATACCCTGGATATCTGAGGTTGACCTCAGCAAAATGGCTAAAGGTTCAATCGCCTGTTTGTAATAACAGAAGAAAAGTGAGAAGCATATAAGTGTTTTACTCAAGTCAAAAATTTGGATTCACACCAAATCTCTCTAGAAAGCTAAAAAGATAGCTCCACTCCACTCTGTCAAAGGCTTTTTCAGTGTCTAGATATTAACATTTCAGGTATATGCTTATTTGAGTCAGGAGAATAAATAATATCAAATACTCTGCGTATATAAAAAAAAAGAAAATCGTTTTTTAATTAAGCCAGTCTGATCTGGGGCTAAAATACTAGGGAGAACATGCCAATATTTTACAATCTACATTGAGCAAAGATATAGGCCGAAATGAGCCACAGTTCAGAGGGTCTTTCCCTTTTTTAGGTATAACGGAAATTGTCACTTGATAGAATGTGTGTGGGAGGCAACCTATAGAGAATGATTCCTCAAGTACAGCAAGTAGCAGAGGCATTAGTTTACCTTTAAACGTTTTTTTAAATTCTACCGTAAAGCCACCTGGCCCAGGAGCTTTTGAGTTTTGCCTGTTTGAGAGAGCTACATTAAGTTCTTCTAAATTTAGAATTTTCTCCAATTCTGCATTGGATTGAATTGTTCAAAGACCAAATTGATTTCTAACTCATCCTTGGTGACCCTGCCATCATCCCTACGAATGGATGTTATAGTATTTGTAGTCGAGTACAGTCTTATTTGTTGAGCAAGAATTTTCCCAGATTTGTCCGAATGTTCATATAATTTAGAGCAGGATTGAAGCAAAAGTTTTTCTGTCTGTTTGGATTTTATTAGATCAATCTCTATCTGTATCTTTTTTCTTTCTTTAAAAATTTCAGGTGAGGGCTTAATTGCACATTTTAAGTCTAACTGTTTAATTTGGTTAATAAGATAATTTAGTTGCTGGTTTCTTTTTTTCCTCTCCCATGATGAAAATGAAATTATTTCCCCCCTAATATAGGCTTTTAGTGACTCCCAAAGTGTAGCTTTACTAACATCTGAGGTGTTACTGATAGATAAGAAAAAAATCTATTCTGTTATTAATAAGGTCTACAAAGGATGAATCAGAAGAATTAAATTATCAAAGCGCCATGTCTTCCGAACTGGTGAATTGGGAAAAGATCATTTTAAAACAACTGGGCTATGATCTGAAATTACAATAGATTCATATTTAAGCACCCAGAGGTACGTATTTTTATGAGACTGGGTTGTATTTATAATTAGTAACAGAAGTTAGCAGTTTATCATCTATTAAGAAGTAATCAATTTGTGAATATGAATGACGCACTGGGGAGAAAAAAAGACTTTAAAAAAGAACTGCTTAAGGTTTGGATATAAGAAACGCCAGGGATCTGGCGCTCAACATCTTAAAATGTCTTCTAATACACAATTTTGTTTTGTCTTATTGAAAAAAAAAAGAGCTTCATAAAGCCATATTATTCTTCAACCAGTAAAAGTCTCCACTGTCCAGAAAGAGGGGAAAAAAGTAAAATTCAGTGACAATGAATATAATGTCCAGTTTAACAAAAAAAAAAAAAAAAAAATAAACTCAGACAAAAATAATATAAATTCCACTTTAAAAAAAAAAAAAAAAAAAAGTGAACAAGCACTGTTAAATGTTTATGTCCTGCAAAGTACCAAACACACTGTAGCAGACATCGAGGGGGACCTGAAAAACTATTCAGAGACGAGTGCATCCATTTTTGGTTTGATGTGTTGCGCAAAGTAAGCGTCCGCCTCTGATGGTGACTTAAAAGAAAGTCTAGTGTTATTGAAAGTGAACCGTAAATCTGCCGGGTGGTGGATGCCGTAAGAAATCCCAGCCTGCTTAAGCTTGAATTTCACAGAATTAAAGGCTGCTCTTCTGCAGCTCAGTTCTGCCCTCATTTCAGGGAAAATATGGACCCGTGCGCCGTGAAATGTAAGCTCACCGCGCTTCCTGGAGGCCTCTGATAATCTTGGCCTTATCAGAGAAGTAGTGCAGATGAACGATCATTGCTCTGGGCTTGTTGCCGGCGCAAGGTTTCGGAGCTAGGGCACTATGAGCGCAATCTAACACCACTGATTGAAGGTCAGGTAAATCTTCACCTAGCACCTCTTAAAAGAATCCAGACATGAAGTCAGTGGGCCGGCCCTTATCCGCGTCTTCAAGTATGCCAATTATACGCAGGTTTTTGGCTACGACTCCTATTTTTGAGGTCTTGTTGTTGCTCTTGCAACTTCTGTATTTGATCTTTCAAAGTTGAAACTGTGGTTTCCACTGTCTCTAGCGAGTCGTGGTGAGAGTTGAGTGTTGTTTCCATTTTCTCCATAGTGTCAGACATACTGGTTTGCTTAGTATGGAATGAATTTGCCCCGCTATCTCCAGTTGTAAAGCATCCATTTTGGTTTTGACCTCCAATCGGAAGATTTCAACAATCAATCCAATCTCAGAGCGGAAACTCGCCATCTCTTTTTTAATAGTATCTGCCATCTGACTGAGGGAGGATATCAGTTCAGATTTAACCAGCTGAAGAAGCGTATTGTCCTCTGACGTCAAAGATTGCTAGGCGCGGCTGTTACTTGTGTGGTTAGTAGCGGCCTCCATACTAGCTTGCTTTAGGTTGGGACTGTCGAGCCGCATCGGTCTTGTCATTGATTTTTTCGCGTTTTTGCTTGTCATTTTCAAACAAATCGGTTAACCATAAATGCAGGGTATTAGTAGAGACAAATTTATCCCTTTTCAAAGTATATTTGCGTGTAGTGCAAATAAAATTAAAATGAGTGAGAGCGTAAACGAAACGCGACTACCTCATCTTGCCGCCGGTCCGCTGGAAGTCTCTGAATTTGGAATTTTTTAAAGCTTGAAGATGGTCATCATTAACTGAAGTGCGAGTAAGTAATTTTTTGTTTAATTTCTCCTTTTGTGTTCCTAGGCAGTAAGGTGGTCATACAAAAACTATCCCTTTAATCCTCTAATAACCAAGAGAGCAAGTGATTCACTTCTGTGGATGTACACTTTAATGTCCAACTACGAAATGCAAAAACTAAACTTTTAAACACTTGTAATCAAGCTCTTGCAAATATTTTTGTGCTATAAGCGTGACCTTGTTACTGTATGAGTGTGGTGTCTGCAAGGATCTACCACAGACACAGTAACATTAGGAGGCATTACAGCCACGACTCCAAGCAATTGAACACATGAGAAATGCTAACATATGATATCCAATATAATAATACCGGTAATAACAATAATAATAAATAATAGCAGCTGCATGGAGCATTTATAAGGCCAAGCACACAAACTATGAAAATGATTTTAACATTGTAGACTATTTTATGCAAATAGTTGAAAAATCATCAATTGTGTGTGTCAATAAGGCTGGGTGATATAGTAAAAAATGTATCACAATATAATGTTCCGTATCATTCAGTATAAGTAATTATTGAATTTTTTAAAACCTTTTTTAAACAGAGCTATAGGGGAAAAAAGGTTTAAATTTAACCACTTTTTTTTATTTTACCCAGTTTATTAAGGCAAACAACAAATAGTTTTAACAGTCAAACGCAAAAAAAAAAAAAACCCTCCTTTCTTATATTTTATATGCAGATTAGTTTTAAGAAAACTTTTGGCTTATCTCCTGAGTCCACAGGAGGGCGCAATAAGCTAAATAATGCACCGCATTAAATTGTTTATTAAATGCAATGAAAGAATGACAAATGACAAAAAATTATCTAAAAAAAAAAGTGCATAATCTCTAAACTTACATATATAAATCAAATAAATTTTTTAAATGGCATAAACATTATGAAGAATTATGAGCAAAACAGCAACAGGTATTTATGCATAGCTTAATGCAAAAAGCCGAAGCACCGATCACACAGATTGCATTTAAAAACATATGAGACGCAATGGAATGGAATGGAATAAAACCCCTCTTTTAACTTTACATGGCTTCTGTATGCATCTCGTGCGAGAGCAACAGTCACAGTTGTCCATCTCGAAAATGTACAGAACATGCGTTCTGTGTGAATGGCTTGGTTTTGGTTTTAACCTAATCAAGATCTTCTCTGCATTAAGCTTCAATTTTTCTCTAATATTTTGAAAAAATAAAATGCAATAACAAAACTCCAACTGCAGTAGTGAACTTGGAATAAAAAAAAGAGACACAAACATATAACAGTCACTTTATGTATTAACCTTTTGAAATGCAAAACAGAACAGATTTCCCTTATTAAGAAAATCGATGTAGACCCAACACTTTAAATTGATTCAAGGCCTCTTACCCTTTTAGTTCATCAGCAATGCACATGCCAAACTGTTTGGTTCCCGTTTCCATAGATCTGCGAATCATAAGCCTGTATCGAGGCTCAAAAACATGCAGTGGGCAGGGAATAGTAGGAAATGCCATAGTGCAAACAAAGATGGGCACTCCCTGGTTCAAGCTGAAACAAGGAGAAAATAATTTTTTTTCGATATGTACACATGAACAAGATACAATAATAATGTCACATTGATAGCATAACGACCAGAAAAGAGTTAGGAAAACCATTATATCTATAGCCAACTTACTTTGACAATTCTTTCATCTCTTCTTCATGTACTTTTCGCCTTTCTGCTAGCTCATCACAAAAGAAGCGCTGCAATAATTTTTCTATTAGAAGAGTTTTGTTGTACGCTCTAGTGGCCAGATACTGCAGAAAAGAAAGATATGTGCACTTTAGATAAGAAAGCATCTCCTCAATGTCTAACATCGAATTAAACGGGGGGCTGTAGAGTAACATTATGACATGTTAAAACAACATTATTCGCAGGTGTGTGATAAATTTCATGACAAATTTCAAAATGAGAATCAACATCTTTTAAAAAAAGAATCCACTCAAATCAACTCAAAGTTCCAGGTCAAATGTCAGTTCACCATGGCTAGACATTAGGGCTGGGTTTTGACACAAATTTCACGATTCGATTTGATTCTCATTGACAAGCTTGCGATTCGATTCAATATCGATTATTTTGGATATATATCAGGTACAGTACATGCCAAATTTTCAAGGAAAAAAAATCTCTCAATTAATGCTGTAAAATATACACGAGAGTCAGTTGGTACTACATTACTATAATATAGAAGGTTATTAATATAAATATAATATAATATAAATATTAATAATATAAAGTTTTTACAATAATAAAGTTACAGTTACATAATATTTCTTCTTCAATTCGTTTTTTGAAATATAAACATTTAAATGGTGGCTGTCATAAAAACTTGATGGATTTATTCAAACATAAATTAAATATTGAAGAACAGTAAAAAATTATAATAAATATGTTATATGTTGCATATATTAAAGGGGTCATACGATGCGATTTCAATTTTTCCTTTCTCTTTGGAGTGCTACAAGCTCTTGGTGCATAAAGAAGATCTGTAAAGTTGCAAAGACTAAAGTCTCAAATCCAAAGAGATATTATTTATAAAAGTTAAGAGTCAACCATGCCTACCTAAAATGGCTCGTTCTAACACGCCTCCACATATCTACCTCACTATGTGGGAAGATTTGCATAACACCGCCCAAATGTTCACGCAAAGAAAGAAGGCGTAACATTTATTCTCACTGTAGTATTGTTTACGCTGCAGCCATGTCATGAAGACGCTGTGTGCTTCGTTGTGAAAGCGAAACTACTTTGTTTGGTCTTCCAAAAGAGGACGATATCAGCTTCGTCATGCCTAGAGCTGATCCGTGCTGCTCGCTGAGGGAATACATCAACTTTCGTCGCTCCGGCCGGGACATGGCATCAACAGTAGGGTGAGGGGCGTAACATTTCCGTCACACGCTTGAGGTATTCGGTCAATCACAACGCATTGGATAGCTGGCCAATCACAGTACACCTCGCTTTTTCAGACTGACGAGCTTTGTAAAAATCGACGCGTTTCAAAAAGGTGGGGCATAGAGGAGAAACAATAATGTACAGTATGTGAAAAATAATGTGTTTTTTTCACTTTAAACCGCATAAACACATTTCATTACACCAAATCCACAAAATTATGTTCTTTTTAGCAGCATCATATGACCCCTTTAAGCAAAATGCCCCTCTCTACGGTTTATTTTTTTATATGACTAATGATTTTATGGTCAATATGTTTTTTTTCCTGAGGTAAATGTGACGTTACGTGTTGTTTACAAGCCATTATATTGACGTTTTTGCGCGGCTGAAACACTGATTGAGCGATTACTTGAGACAGGATATGGTTTGTAAAGTTGTACTCTTTCTTTTAACTTACCTTCGGATGTTTAGTCATGATTATTTTGTGCTGAAACTGGTATTAATGTGGAGGAGATGATCATTCACGTGCGCCTCGCGCTGTCTGTTGAACTGAGGCGATATAGCGATCTGTCACTCCACATTAAACAGCGCCTAAACAACATTTATTGTTTAAATACTGCAATACATTGGGCAGAATTTGAAATCTGAGACTTTGGTTCATATTAACAGTACCAAAGCACAACGCTTATTGCTATTTATTGGATGGGAAGTACCCTTCAATGTTTCGTCCATTAACTGAAAACAGGCAAGATTAATCGATTCTTGGGATTTAAGAATCGATATCGTTCCGTAAAAATGAGAATTGATTAATATCGAGATATCGATATTTTTTACCCAGCCCTAATGGACATGGTCGCCCCAAACAACAACCAGTGGTGGAAAGAGTACTGAAAATTTGTACTTAAGTACAAGTACTGTTACATTGCTGAAATAACACTCTAAAAAACGCTGGGTTGAGACCGCTGGGTTGTTTTAACCCAATTTTGGGTTGAAAATTGGTCTTGATCAATAACGCAGCGGTGCTGGCTTGGGAACGCGGACGTGAAAGAGAGCATGCACATCACGTTAACATCGGATGTATCTCGACGACACCAGTGCGAGAAGCCGCCATTTTCTCAGCGTCTTCAGATGGAAGCGGGTGCGAGTGAAAGACGGTTTATGGTAAGTAAAGATTAAAAATGTAAAGTCATCATTCATTGTTTGAGTCCGGTAGTATCTTGAGATTTCATGGAAGGCAGAAATATTCTGAAAACAGCTTGTATTGAAAAATACGCCGACGCGGATTTCGCCTCAGAAATAGTCTAAATAATAGGCCTTTTACTGAATGGAAGAGGTGCTTTTAATATAATGTCAGTGAGTGTCTTATGTCATATTTACATAAGATTTTACAATATAAAATTTTTTTGAGGTGTTAAGAGAGGGTTATTAACACATTTACATGTTAATTTGTTGTATTTTTTTTTTTGCGGTTAAATTGAATGTAGTTTCCTAAAGGAAAAGGCGTTATGTAATAAAGACTAGCCTAATTATTTTGAGGCTGATGAAGTGATAATTGTTAAAAGTAATGTTTTGCATGTTATATTGCAGACATGTTGAGCTTTGTGTCTTCATTGTGCCTGCGTTCACGACACAGCACCCTGCTTGTGTGAGGAGGCAATTTTCTCAGCTTCTTCAGAAGAGAGGGAAAGATGGTTTAAGGCAAGTAAAGTTCATAATTCCATCATGTTATCAATTGTTTTTTTTTTTTTTTCTAATATTAAAAG